ATCCCAGGGACTTAAGCAGATTCCAAGTACCCAGAAGACTCTAAAGACCCTAATGGCTTTAGACATCATGGACTTCAAAAATGTCATGTGATAAAACCAGAAAATCATCCACTACAGAACAAAGAACGCTTATCACCTGAATACTTTTCAGCGGCCATCTCCTTGCTGAAGGACCTGTAAGTTCAACTGAGGGCACCGTCAATGATACATCTGTGACAAGTAATATGTATAATCAAGTTTCACATACATTAGCTGTCGACTTAAACTGAGATATTGACCAGCAATTTATTCTGCTGAAGCAAAAGTGGGAGCTATCTAAATGTGCTCTTCTAACGCTTGTCATCTAGCCACTGGTTGCTAGACCTCAGATAATTACAACAAATGTGAGGTCCTCACTCACCTGATGGCCGTTTGATTTCGATATTGTGTTTCATTTGCTAAATAATATTTTTCTTCTATGTTTTGCTATGGGGTTCATGTTATGTTGTTATGCAACATAAATTTACAACTAATTAGGCTAAAAGTATCAGGCAGTAATAACATGAATATTGTGTCTGGTTGTATAATCACTAATTGGTTCATCTGATCAGTTTGAGCACTTTAGTTTATTGCTTTCTTTTGCTATATAGTCTGGTTGAAAATTAGCTGTTTGTCCTGATAGGAATGATGTGCGTTATATAACTGTTCAGTGAACTAAGAGCAGAACCTATTCTATAGTGGGATTTTGCAGAGAAGTACAGAGTGGTTATTTTAAAACATATGTAACCATGATGGAACCATCCTATGACTTACCTTAAACACCAGTTCTCTCAGTCAAATTTAACAACGAGACGGAAGAGGAAGTAATAGAGTGGAGAATTTTTATTGTTATACAAGCTGTGACACATGTGTGTAATACCTTCAGTAATTACTGTAACTCAGCTGTTATTGTGCCACTGGCATGCTATTTCCTGTAAACCAACTAACTAACTAACTAAATTCCTTGCAAAATAGTGTGCAGGAAAAGAAACAGCTCATTAGGGATGGGAGAAGGATTTGCTTTTCAATCAGGCACTCCCTTTCCATTCTCTTCACTGCCCTCAAAGTCCATGTAAAATGGATTAGATTCAGATACAACTGACATTTTGGAACTGCACCATTTTAACCCTCTACCTACACACATTATGCTCAAACTCCAAGTGGCTCACTGCTTTCATTAGGGGCCCTGTCCTTACCAAAGCTCCACCACTTGGCTGCATCTTCCTCATCAGTGCTGCTGATTATAAATATTTTGTGAATAAGAGATAAAAACAAGTTACAGCCAAAAAGCAAAATTAATATTTAATTCTAGTCTAGGCAAAAAGAAAGGCAAAGCAAACAATCCACTGAGACAAATCCCCTTTCTTATAGGCCAGCATAGCTATGCATTAAATAACCTTTCAATGACCTAATCCGGTGGCAAGGTCATGGGCGGCCTCAAAGACAGTGGAACAGCTGTGGCTTGGCTTGGCTGCACAGAGGTTCCATCCATAATGGCTGCACAAGGGGATTCAGTACCTCTGGCACATTGGGGACCATGTTCCATAGGAGCACTCTCCGTGCCCCCATTCAGGGCGATTTGGGGATGAGGTGCAGGAGACACAGTGTGTGTGGCTAATAGTCATGAAGGTGAAGCAGAGGGGCTATACATTGCACTGTAGTCTCAGTGTTCCAGTTGCAGCCATGGAGTGTCTCTGCCGGTGCCTTGTGGCCTTACAGCGCTTACACACCAAGGTGATTGGAACCACAGAGATAGGCAGATGGGGGAGAAGCTTGTCCCCAAAGAACTCCATTACAAAGCCTATTTAGCTTAAGGGGAAGATGGGAAACCAGCATCTCGCTGCCCTTTGTGCCTTTGAAAATCTCACAGTGAGTCCTGACTTGATAGAATAAAGAATCCTGGTGGGAAGGTTGGTGATGGGAAGGCAGATCTGAAGCTGCCATTGGAGGAAATGCATTGGAACAGTGAGCCAGCACAACACTCAGACAGGAGCATGTTACATCTGCTCTCAGCATGTTCTCATTAACTGCTCCCAGCTAGTATTTGCTCCTGAGGGCAGCACGTACACTAGCCAGCGGGGGGACTGGACATACCACCTTTCTTGTATGCCCATCAGGCATGTGACTGGTATCTCCTAGTGCCATCTTGTGCACCACCAAGTCATTTTGCCTCACTGCTTGTGCATAGGAGGAGGCTCCTGCACCTGTCTTCCCTTCCCTGCTTGGGCACCAGCATATCAGAGGACATGATTTGGCCCCAAAAGCATAATAAAGTGTCTACAAGACAGTTGTCCTGGTTACTAAAGCCTGTGGTTATAAGAACTGCACCACAAGGCGAAGAAGACAAATTTTAGTACACTCCTTTATGGACTTTATGGACATTACATCTCTTCTTGTCCATTTTATTCTACTCCCTCTTCTTCCCTGGAAAGAGGGCGTGACCACAAGAGTGAATACCTCTAATATGAAACAAAAGCCAAAACAAGCCCAAGGGAGAGGGCACAGGACGGAGAGGAAATACATTTTCCTCTCCGTCCTGTGCCCTCTCCCCACATTTCTTGACTATAAAAGCTAAATCAGTATCCTAGAGACTAATAACATGGTAACAGTAGCATTAGATATCAGGGAATTTCACAATGTTTGTTTAAAAAGTTAGTTTCACTATGAAATTACCTCTGTGCATTCTTTAAGATTCCTCGCAGAGCCTAACACAAAGTCAAAGAATACAGAACAGCATGGATTTTTTTCTGGCCTCTGACATATCTATTAAGGAAATACTGGCTATCCCTTACCTTGCTTTCTCAGAGCCAACCTCAATTTCCACAGAAATAGGGCTGGAATTTAAGCTGCCAGAAGTCATTAGCTGAGAGCAAGAATTCTCTCTCTTATTATTTTCAGCTGCTGGCCACCTGCTGAGCTGCGAAAGTGCTGGTTTCAAACACCAGCAAAAGACTTTTAAAAGATCTGGGGCTCATTCTGATCTCAGTCATAGGGTGTAAATGTGGAGGCACTCCAATGATATCAATAGGAGATCACAAATATGCCCATCTCCTGCCTTTTGCATGACCCTCGGTGTGCCTCCTGTTCTGAGATGGGTTAGGATGATAAAACATTTCCAACCAGCCTACTCTCGCCCCCAGCATTGCTAGCACTATTGGAAGTACATTAGTAGGAGATTCTTCTTTGAGTGTCCTCTGCATATTCCACCTCTTGGGATATGAGCTGAATAGTGCAGTTGAATGGTGGAGCCTCCTGTAAGCAGCGCCTGTTAGAGCGTTAGCACTCGCATGCCCCTGCCTCGTCCTCCCCTCAGCATTCCAGCACATTCTGAGGGTGTGGCCGTAAAAGGGGGTGCAGCCATTGCACCCTCAGTCCTTCCAACTGCTGATCTGACAGATGAGAACTTCTCTGGATTCCGTGGATCCAAAGCATTTTAGATAAGTGCCTTGTTGTGCTTAGTAGTTAGCGATTGTATTAGTCTAACAGTTAGTTTTACTGTTATTGTTAGTATCAGTGCCAGAAATAATAGCTGTTCTGAAGAACAAGCAGCACGGATTCAAGAGGTGCATGTCATGTCCTGCATCTGACACTCACACCCTGTGCTTGAAATATTTAGGCAAAGGCCATTCTCCCTCATGCTGTACCATCTGTGACACTTGTTCTCCACATGCAGGGAAAGACAGACAAAATAGGCTTCAAGCCCTTTTACTTCAAGAAGTTTTAATGGCTAACTCTCCTGGATTGCAGGTTTCCAATGTCTCTGACAAAATGATCAAGGGTCCTGAATTGGCACCAGGTGCTTCAAGTTCCAGAAGGCATTGTTATTGACTTAGTCAGACTCTCCACCAAGCTCCAGTTCTAAGATGACTGAGTGATCAGTAGCTAAACTTCTGGACCCCGTACTGAGAAGAGGTCAGCCCTTCACCAAAAGAGTTATGGACAATGGGTAATCTGTGACTGGGGCCTCTGTGGATCCGGGACCCTTGGTTCAGAGGAAAAAGAAGGCCAAGACAAAGCATCTTTCACTACAGGAGAAAACTCCTCAGTCAATAGATTCATCTTCAGATTGGGAATTTATGGATCTGAAACTTTACAGAGATCTGTACCTTAAGGCCTCTCTGTATCATCGGATTGTTTCAACATTATGGTTCTGAGAAAACCATCAGATCCAAACACCTCATCTTTCTCAGCTCCATCTATAGTCATTACAGCACAGGTACACTCTGATCTGCATGGGCCCATAGATTTTTCCAGTTCCACGCTTAGATCATGCACTCCTTTCCTCCAGACAAGAGGCAGAGTGCATGAAGAGGCACTGTAGTGAATGAACCTGCAGAAATACTAACTCTTTCAGAAAAGATTCTTATTGGGTTGCAGAGGTCGACAATATCTCCCATATATCTACTGCAACTTCCAACTTCAGTTGTTTCTTCTATCAGCTCTTTGTTAGATCCAGGATCAGAACACCATTCAGAGGAAGATCTGGATCTGGTGGTATTTGTGGATCCACAACCCTTTCCTATATTGTCCAAAAACTGCATTTCTCATCTGGATTATCAGCAGGTCCCCTTCCTCAATACTATGACACCATGTTAGAATTGAAGAGTTGGCAGGATTGGCATATGCCACCTTGAATATCATGGCTCTATCAACCTCCCTTCATATTTAAGTCTTTGGATCCATGCTGAGACAGAACTACTCCTGTGGAGCTGGGATGTTCAGAGCCTAAACCTGAAGATCCAAAAATACTCTTTATGAAGAAGAGGAGGAATGAGATTCCCCTTCTCAAATGGATAGTCAGCAACTTGAACAATAATTACCAGGTGATTCCTCTCCTGATGAAATTTGGGTGTTGCATCAGCTTAGTCTCTCTTGGAAAACACTATTCAATGGCATTAGCTGAATGGTTACTGCATAAACTTCACATCTGTCACAGATGAAGCTCTTCACACAGTCTTTGATCTATTTGGTAGTACACCTACCAACAAGGTTTCTTTACCAATCTTGGAAGGTTGCTGGCAACCAGCAAAATCAATATGAAAAAATCTCTCATCTTGCCAACCTATTTCCAAGAAAGTAGAAAAGCTATATCAAATCCCCTATGAGGGTTTTTCATGCTTTTATGCTTCCTGCTCCTAACTCCCTAGTGGTGGCAGCAACAGCACAGAAGTAAAACACTGGGTACTTACACGCCACTCCTAATGATAGAGAAGGGAAAAGATTAGAATCTTTGGGAAGGAAACTGTTTTCTTAGTCTTCCTTGATTTTGAGGATTGCTAACCGTCAAGCTATCCTGGCCAATATCAATTTCACCTATGGGACAACATTTTATTTTTTACAAAGAATCTTCTGGAGGAATATCAAAAGTTAGCAATTGCTATTATCAAGGAGGGTCAAAATGTGGCCAAAAATGTCCTAGAGCGTCCTTTGACATTTCAGATGCTTCTTCAAGATCATAGCCTCTTCCATAATTCTTCATAGGCTAATTTGATTATAATCTTCTTCTCTCTCCTTTGTTACTAAGTCAAAGATCAAGGATCTCCCATTTGGGGGAGACAATCTGTGCAGTTCTAAAACAGATGAAGCATTAGAAAAATGGATCTCTATATCAAGGATCTCTAGGACTCTTGCCGTCTTTCAGGAGGATTCCTGCATCTTGTTTAGATACCTGAGACAATGTTATATACCCTGTTCATCATCTTCTTACTACTCTTAAAGACAAGACTAGTAGCTACAACAGCATCCTCCTCCTTCTCAGTCTCACTTAAGAAAAAGATCCTCTAAATCCAAGATGAGATCAAAGAACTCTTCTACTACCACTACTTCTTTAACTTCTTTTAGACCTCAGGTTTGACATTACAACTGAGAGCTGCAAACCAATCTTACACCGTTCTTCTCTAGCTTTAGAGACCTTCTTTCCCATTTTTACATCAAATGGTAAAACATCACTACAGACAGATGGGTTTGGGACGTTATTAAAGAGGGCTACACCATCCAATTCGAGACCATCCCTCCATACCACCTTCCTCTCCCTTTTTAGGGACCCCTCTAATGAGATGTTTCTCAGATCAGAAATCCATTCTCTTCTACTAGAGGGAGCAATAGAGGAGGATCTGCAAAAACTCAGGAATCAAGGTTTTTATTCTAGTTCTTTCCTCTTTCCACACACACACACACACGGATATTTGGATATTTTCAACAAATTCTAGATATGAATCTAGATCTAATGAAACAAACACACCAGGAAGTTCTGCTTCAGGATATTGACTCTTGGGTTCAATTTTCCCCTTTCTTTCTACTCAGGATTGGTTTGCTGCTCTTGATCTCAAGGATGATTACTTCCATATTTCTATTCAATCTTCTCACAGGAAATACCTTTCTTTTGCCCTCAGTCAGAACCATTTCCAATACAAAGTTCTCCCCCTTGGCCTTTCTGCTGAACCCAGAGCTTTTTATAAAATGCCTTTCTGTAATAGCAGCCTTCCTCAGAAGACAAGAAATTTTCATTTTTCCATATGCCAGCAACTGGCTTCTGAAAGTTCACGCCAAAGATGAGTTGAACCTAGTCATTCTTTTCACACAGTCTCTGTTCCAAAAACTAGGTTTTCTGATAAACAAGAAAAAATCCTTAATGTACCCAACAAAAACAAACAAACAAACAATCTCTTTCACAGGAGCAGTTCTCGACTTCAGAGTAGTGAGAGCTTACCTCATAGAGGACAAATTCCAAGAACTGAAATCCACCACACAATGCTTATTTCAGCAACCAATACAGTCAGTACTATTCTTCCTCCCCTTTCTGGATCTTATGGCATCAACAATCTATGTTACACCTTACGCAAGGCTCAGAATGAGTCTTCTTCAACACTGGGTTTCAAGAAATTTCAAGCCAATAATGTGCAGTATGCACATGATGCTTACAGTCCCAGCGAAGGTCTCAAATGCTCTTCTGTGGAGACTGAAGCCCATGAATCTACTGAAAAGAGTGATGTTCAATCCCTTGCCTCTTTCAGTAACAGCTAGAACAGATGCTTCCAAGACCAGTTGGGGTGCACATCTCAGCACATTAATGGCAAGGAGACTGTGGAATCTGCAACAATTATAACTTCACATCAATGTCCATTTAACACTCAAATCTTTCCTTCCCCAAATTCAGGGCTCTATGGTTCAAGTTGCCAAGGACAATGACAGCAATGTAGTATGTAAATAAACAGATCATCACAACTTTGCCGAGAAGCAATAAAACTGTGGGACTGGTGTATGTCAGGAAATTTATTTAACTGCATTGCATATAGCAGGATCTCAGAACCAACTAGTGGATCAACTGAGCAGGGACTCTTTGCAGAGTCATAAATGGTCTCTGAAGCAATCAGTGATTCAGGACATCTTCAATCCTTGGGAATTTCCAAGCATAGACCTCTTTGCCATTAGCCTCAATATTAAATACTACTTTTGTTCAAGAGCAAGGGTGAACAAAGTAGTGCTCTGACTGCACCCTAAATTTTTACTTAAAGTAATTTCTGATTTTCATGTTCATCGATGTATTAGCTGACGTATTAACCTTCCAGTATTCTTTTGAAAACCTCATAAGAGTGAATCAAAGTTACATTGTTTGGATGTTAAAAGAGTTTTAACTAATTATTTGGATAGAACAGAAATATTCAGGATTGCTCATAAACTGTTTCCTATTCAGATAATTATAAAGGAAAAGCTTTTTCTGCTTAAACTAGATGGGCCATAGAAGAGAGTATAAGAAAGTATCACAATCGCTTTCTGCTGCTATTAAAACCCATTCTACCAGGGCAGTTGTTACTTCAGCAGCATACTTCAAACACCTCCCATTAATAGAAATTTGTAAAGCAGCCAAAAGGAGCTCAATACATCCTTTTACTAAACATTATGCATTAGACATAGCTGCTAGGTCTGATGCACAGTTTGGCAGGACAGTTCTCCAATCTATTTAATTAGGACATCTTGTCCCACCAGCCATTTTACTATATACTGTTTGCCAAACTATTGCCAAGAGTGGGAATATGCAGAGGACACTTGAAGAAGAAATGAAGGTTACTTACTTGTAAACTAGGTTCTTCAAGATGGACTCTGCACATTTGCACCCCCCACCCTCCTTCCGTGGAAGAAACAGAGGCAGGATCAGCTGCTGTGCCCCCTTTTACAGCCGTGCCCCCTTTTACAGCCGTGCACTCAGAACATGCTGAAATGCTGAGGGCAGAGGCAGAAGGGAGCATGCGAGTGCTAACACCAGAGGCACTGCTTACCCCAGGGACCACCATTCAGCTGCACTGGTCAGCCCCTATTCCAAGAGGGGGAATGTGCTGGGTCCATCTCAAAGATCCTTGGTTACAAGTAAGTAACCTTCATTTTCCTAAAAACTGCCAGTATAGCCCTTGTGTTGGATTCCTGATATCTTCGGCTTTAACCCTGAGGAGTTTGGATGTACCCCTGTGTTTTGAATGCACTAATATTGCAATTACACACTCTACCACCCAGCACTTTGCAAGGTGTATGTGCTCCTTTGGTGTTTCTTTATGGAGTCTCTTCCATGGCACTGCTGAGTCAGTAATTGTCTGTGCAGGAGCACAATTAATAAACCTCCTGGCCTTTAATAACCAGGAGAACTAAGTGACCTGCCACTTCTTTTGAAGCAGTTCTCAGACCACTGAATAGCAATTGCTCCTCACATTCCCAAACAGGCTATTTATTTATATGAGTTCGCTGCCCAGTTGGGAATGTGTTTAATGAGGAGAGAAGCAAACCAGCAGCAAGCAGTGATTCTCCCCTCATTAGAGACTGGCAAATATGGTTTTATAGTGTCCGCAGTCTCCAATCCAATTACATGGGTTTTCATTAGCAAAATTTAGTCTAACTGCTCTAAAAACAGCATGTGATTCCATCTGTGAATGAAGGCGTGAACCTTTCAAAGCTTAGTTAATATCTCTGAATCCTGACAGATGCAAAGGTCCCCAAACATTTCCCTCTATGCTGTCCCTGGTTTGTTTTCTCAACCCATAATTTTCAAATGCAGTTTTTGTATCTTAGTGAAACTTGTAAAATAATCAAAGCCCAGAGAAGCATAATACAGAAATGGTTCAGACAGGTGTCTTACCAATTATTTTGTTCTTCTACCTTACAGTTCATTCCTGCTCCCAACACTTTACTGTTTTAGAATATGGTCAGAGTACTATGTTGTGTGGCTATGTTGCATGACTAGGATTAAATTCTAAACCATGCTATTATACTCTAGTACAATAGATCACTACAAGCTGCTCTAACTTACGCCTGGCTGCCCATGGCCCAATGGACTATTCCAGCACCCAGGAACAGATGGAATGCCAGCGAGCTCCAGCTACATCCCCATTTCACAGGCCACACGACCTATGCCAGGAAATGTGGGTGGGTGGCCAACAGCCACTAGACCAGCTCTGTCCCACCCCGGGGTTCCTGCTGCACAGGGGAATTCACCAGCTTTGCAGCCTCCTTTTTGCGATGATTTGCAATGCAGTGGCATTGTAATTGAAAGAAGAATTGAACACCTTGTTTGAGGGGACACACTGCAGCTTTTCTGCCTCACAATTGTGGGTGCACCATGTTTAGTGCATTGTAGGAAAATCTGGGCAGCAGTGGATAGAGCATCCCGAGGACACATACACAGAGAGTGGTGTCAGCAACACTTGGACACTAACACTCTAAGATGTCCTACTATACATGCAGCTAGTTGGAAGGAAGACCAGCCAAACAAGCTACATAGCTTAGTTAGGAATTCCTGTCTGTCCAGAAAAATAATAATATTGAAAACTGATTACAGTAAGGAAACCATGTGCTAGGACAGGCTTCTATCTGTCTCCCACAATTTTTACATGGCCCCATCATTGTAATTTCTGACTGCTTAAGCTTTCAACAAGGGGAATGCATGATTAGCAGCCACAGCGCCTGGCTGCATTAGTAATGTTGCATGTGCACATAAGGTGTGTTTAGAGCTAAGTATTTCACTAACTGGTTTAAAAAAATCCTTTAAAAGTTATATTGTAAATAAGACCTTGTGGACTTGGATACCAAACTGGGAGGGGTTGCAAATGCTTTGGAGGATAGGATCATAATTCAAAATGATCTGGACAAACTGGAGAAATGGTCTGAAGTAAATAGGATGAAATTCAAGAAGGACAAATGCAAAGTACTCCACTTAGGAAGGAACAATCAGCTGCACACATACAAAATGGGAAATGACGGCCTAGGAAGGAGTGCTGCGGAAAGGGATCTGGAGGATCACAAGCTAAATATGAGTCAACAATGCAACACTGCTGCAAAAAAAATGAACATCATTCTGGGATGTAATAGCAGGAGTGTTGTAAGCAAGACACAAGAAGCAGTTCTTCCACTCTACTCTACGCTGACTAGGCCTCAACAGGAGTATTGTGTCCAGTTCTGGGTGCCACATTTCAGGAAAGATGTGGACAAATTGGAGAAAGTCAAGAGAAGAGCAACAAAAATGTTTAAAGGTCTAGAAACCATGACCTGTGAGGGAAGATAGAAAAAAATTGGTTTGTTTAGTCTGTAGAAGAGAAGACTGAGAGGAGACATGATAACAGTTTTCAAGTACATAAAAGGTTGTTACAAGGAGAAGGGAGAAAAAATGTTCTCCTTAACCTCTGAGGATAGGACAAGAAGCAATGGGCTTAAATTGCAGGAAGGGAGGTTTAGGTTGGACATTAGGAAAAATTCCTAACTGTCAGGGTGGTTAAGCACTGGAATAAATTGCCTAGGGAGGTTGTAGAATCTACATCATTGGAGATTTTTAAGAGCGGGTTAGACAAACACCTGTCAGGGATGGTCTAGATAATACTTAGTCCTTCCATGAGTGCAGGTGACTGGACTAGATGACTTCTCAAGGTCCCTTCCAGTCCTAGGATTCTATGATTATTTAAACAAAGCACAGTATACAACACTGGTCCCCACCGTTATGGTAGCTAATCAACCAAACCAAACAAAGTTATTTTTCCTTCATGCAATTTTAGAGGATCCCTTTCCCCTTGGCAGAAACAAAAACAGAAAGATCTTGCCCTTTCTGGAACACTAATGTAATCCATTGGTCAGTATGTGTTACAGGTCTTTCTCTGTGCCTGATCTGCAGAAGAGATGAGTCTATTATAGCCCAGCTAGAGACCCAGGATTCTTTGTCTCAAGCTGTAGCAGCTTATGCTTTTACCTCTGGAGGTCCAATCATCGGAGTGTTGGCCAAGATGGCAACCACCAGACAAACAGAGAATAAACAGAGTTCTCTCCTTACCGGAGTGTAAGCTGCGTTATCCAGTCCCACCGTAGGAAAAGAGTAATATTTCCCCACTACAACCCATCCTTTTTCTATTTTTACATAAATCTTGCAGTTGGTCCCTGTAGCTGAAATATGTTGATTTTGCAACATGAATAAATGGGGACTAAGATATTACCAACAAACTTGGTTCCTCTTGGTCATATGGGGAGAACATTAATGTATTTCTAGGACACTGATCATCATAGTATCTGATTTAATCCAGGTCTGTGGTATAGAAACACTATTGTATTAATCCAGTGTTTCCCCAAAATGCATTTGCGGTAGGCTTCCCATATATTATGGGTAGGGCCCTACCAAATTCACAGTCCATTTTGGTCCATTTCAGAGTCATAGGATTTTAAAAATAGTAAATTTCATGATTTCAGTATTTAAATCTGAAATTTCACAGTAATTGTAGGGGTCCTGACCCAAAAAGGAGTTGCGGGCGGGGGGGGGGAATGTCACAAGGTTATTGTGTGTGTGGTGGGGGGGGTGTTGTGGCACTGCCTCCCTTACTTCTACGCTGCTGTTGGCGGTGGCTCTGCCTTCAGAACTGGGCAACTAGCCAACAGCCACCACTTTCCTGCGGCTCAGCTCTGAAGGCAGCGCAGAAGTAAGAGTGGCAATATCACAATCCCCTTAAAATAACCTTGTGACCCCCCTACAACTGCTTTTTAGGTCAGATCCCCCAATTTGAGAAACTCTGGTCTCCCCATGAAATCTGTATAGTACAGGGAAAAAGCACACAAAAGACCAGATTTCGTGGTCTTTTTTCATGGCCATGAATTTGGTAGGGCCCTAATTATGGGCCACCCTTTATGCTTGTTCTCTGCCATCCAGCACTTTGAACAAGAAGCTGGCTGTGGGGGGGAGGGGGGGGGAAGAAGGTGGCAGAAGAAACACCATGGATCTAAGTAGTGACATTCGTAATTTTTCTCCTGATAATTACAGTGGTTACCATTCTGATCTTTACAATTGGCTTTGCAAGCCATTAACATGGTGTTGATTCTACTTCTTACAGGGAATATAGTCAATACCATAGTGATGTTATTTGTTTACAAAGGCAAAATTGTAAAGAATTTTGTAGCAATCACTAGACCTAGTGCAACAACATTTAGAGGGGAGCAACCAGAATGTGCATTTTGGTAACTCTATTGTATGAGATGAACAGATAAAAATTATTCTATGTATGAAGCTGCAGTGGGACAGATACATGTAAAGAAAAGCCTGAATATTTCCCCTATTCTCTGCCTTCTGAGATACCTCCTTATGCTATTGGTGCTCAGACAATATTTACTTTTTTATAAGACCCCTGGGGAAATCCTGTACATAGCTTCACCCTGCTCGTACCCCTCTTTGTACATCAGTTTGTTTCTTCAGCTGCAATGATAACTGTAAGTTCATGTTAGAGATGGACCTGAATGTAAACTATCTTGAACCTTCAGGAAATTTGGATCCAGATCAGTTCTGGGGTCTGTCTTCGTGTATTCAAATGAAGTCAAACACTATTGCTGATTTATATTATTAAGCAAAAATACCTGCTTTAATCATATTAAAGGAACAGACTAATTTCTTCCTTATTGCTTCCCATGTTCACAAACTCTCTGACTCACACAACTGAGTGAAACAAAAATCAAAAAGGATTAGAATCTCTCCCTGGCTTTCTCATCCGAATGCATAATGAATGTCTGTAGGAACTGGAACTTCTCCCATGAATCTGAGAATTTGCAGGTGGCAAAAAAGGAGCTGCAATCAGAACTTCAACATTGATGAGGATAAAATACTGTTAAAAGCTTTTTGTGCTTTGACAAATGTTACAATTATTGCCCTGTGCAAGAAAAGTACAGGGTAACCCCAGGAAGAGAGGGGGGGGGAATAAAAAATAAAAATTAATCATAGACCTAGCAGACTTGGGCTAAACAGGGAGAAAAATTAAATCACTGGCCTATTGTGATCTTGGTTATGTCGTCTTGGGAGGTGATCATATACTGTTATAAGAACCCAGATATATTGATAGAGACAACTTTTCCTTCCTTTTCCTCTAGGAAAAGTCCTAGAGAACTTAAATAGAAATTCCATCCCTGCTATAGAATTCTACAATTTGATTCAAATGCCTATAGAAATGCCTATCACATTCACTATTAAATTATATAGATTCTTTGAACAATTTTTATTAGTCACATCCCTATTAAAGCCTGTAGGGTTTTTACAAAAACATTGCCCAGGCGGAGGTATAAAAGTTTTGCCAATAACTTTAGTGAGAACAAGTGAGCCCTATATATGAGTAACGTGATTAAGTCTTCCTGTTTGCTCCCATTGGATCTAATCACATAAGCTCCAGTTTGATGTAAACATAACCGATGGACAAATTTATAATCAAATTATCTGACAATACAGATAACTAAGGGTTTCTTTACAGTACACGATGCTGTGTGCTGTAGCTAGTTCTCTACTAACCTCTGTGTATTGCTGTACTACGTTTTCAGGAGTTGGGCCAAGAAATACATAGAAGTCGAGGATCCCTCCGATGGTGCGGAAGGTTAAGGATGGATTTGGACTCAGAGTAATATCTGAAAGAAGAAAACAGAGGTGTTGCACACAGTACAAATTACCTCAGTGCCAGTCCTATGCATTTTGAACCCTTCAGTGCACAGCTGCTAAGTAGGTTAGCCAGCCACTTACTTTAAGCACATATCCCACCCACACAGACCACAGAACAAGTACAAATCGTCTATCTGCCAGCATCACAAAAAAGAGAAACAGGCACCCTTGCAAGGCGGTCCTGTCTTGCAGGGATGGCACACTGTATGGACAAAGAGAAATAAGGAAATGTGTATAACAGTAGTAAGCTACCATGGCGCTGTGAGCTATATTTCCAGATTTATTCTATTTTGCACAGTAACAAATGCACATAAAATATATTGCAAGGTTTTAATTTCACTTGTAGATGAAGGAACCACCAATGTGCATCTAAAGCTCCTCTATAGAATATATATGCATCTAATTTTTTACTGGAAGTCACTGCCTGCCAAAGAAATTGATTTCATAGCTTTAGTGAAGATTCCCCTTTTCAAAAATTACAGTATTAAATTAATACAGTGAGGTGACCATGGTAACGTGCAAAGCTATTCTTCTCAGAGTGAACACAGTACTAACCTAAATTGACTTGTTTTGCTGGTGTCAGTCCCAGAGGAAATTTCTATTGACTTCAACTTTCTCTACCCTTACATTTAGTTTTAAAAAGTTAATCAATCATATAATTTTAGTTGAAAGTGTATATTTTACCTTGTTTTACAGTAATTGCAATGAAGTCTCTTTGAGAACATAATAATTGTCCCTGGATACTCACTTATGATATGGTATCAGAGGGGTAGCCGTGTTAGCCTGAATCTGTAAAAAGCAACAGAGGGTCCTGTGGCACCTTTGAGACTAACAGAAGTACTGGGAGCATAAGCTTTCGTGGGTAAGAACCTCACTTCTTCAGATGCAAGTAATGGAAATCTCCAGAGGCAGGTATATATCAGTGTGGAGATAACGAAGTTATCTGTTAGTCTCAAAGGTGCCACAGGACCCTCTGTTGCTTTTTACTTATGATATGTGTAATATTTTAGGAATCCTGTCATATATTTGTATGTTTAAAAGTCATTAGTGAAAAGAGTTATTTATATATAGCAGAAACAATTTAGCATCTCCATACTTAATCTACATATGTACGGATAATATACTGTATTACCTTGTGCATTGGAGTTCAGTAAGAGGATACCATGAGTATTTGAGTCACTCTCTATGCACATATAAAAAGGATGAACTCCATAAAGATTGGCAAATGTCTGAAACATCAAAAATGGATTATATATAGCTTGTTTTGCCAGTTGTTCACAATCTTTATCATCCAGAAACACATACACAGTCAAGTACATTTATTAGTTCATAGCTGAAATGGGTTATTTGCATCCAAACTAATGTAAAGCTCCATCAATAGAACAAGAGATATTTTTAGCCTCAACATTGTCACTTTTATCTTACCTTATTTAAACTCTTAGCCATGGACTATAGTACTCTGGCATTCAGTCAAATGCTCCCGAGTGACCAGGCTAAGAAATTCACTGCTGGTGAGAATATATCAATGACAGGCCAGCATTTAAGCTGCAAGTCAGCCAAGCATTTAAGAATGTGCCTAACTTTAATCCCCTTGAAGTCATTCTTAAATGCTTGGATGTATAGGGATGAATTTAAGCATGAGCTTAAATACTATGCTGAATCAGAGCCTTGATACATGGAATATTTTTTACTGGGAACGTAGAATGTTTCTTATGCCAAGTTTCCAAATCATTGTAAAATACCCAGTGATTTTACTGTTTAGCTAATTACATTTTGTTGCATTTCCATAACATTTTATGAAACCCATTTTATGTTCTTTCCCATTAATTCATAATTAACACCTCTTGTCATGTAGTAATGCTCTTAATCTGGTATTACTGTATTTTGCCATTTCATTTTTAAAGTATGATCCCAGCACCAAATGCTGCATTAAATGACTTACCGTTGGTGGCTGGTCTCTGGAAAACATCCCATAATTAACAAAATTCATATTGTGCTTAAAGGATGGATGTTCATGTTCACCAAATCCATAAACAGAGGTGGATGGCACAGTGGTGGTAATCTGCAGATACTGTTTGGAAAAAATTAAATCTCCAAGTGACGTGTCCCACCTGTGTCAAAAACAGTGAGTATGAACATGATTAGTTTGCTCATGCCTTATATTCATCACTTTAACATCAAGTTGGAGTACTTGGAAATTTTGTTGCATTTCTTGCAATAGTAACATATACAAATGCAATTTACAAATTCATTCTATGTGTGCTTCTAATGTACTTAAACATATATCTTATATAAGGACAACTGAGGTAAGAGGAAGGCATTATATAAAGTACTGTCACTGAAATAAGCAGTTGCTCTTGCTATCTCTATGACCAGTGGCGCATATTGAAGACTGTTATCACATGGTGGTGTCTACAATGTCACTAACAATAACAACATTTAGTAGCAATCATCTTTTATCAGGGTGTGAAGTCCCATTGAAATTAATGGGATTACTCATGTGCTTAAACTAAAGCATATGCTTAATGCTTTGTTGGATCAGGGCTGAGGGTTTGATCAGAGTTGGATCACTGACTAACAGAGGTGAGGGTGCATAGCACCCCACAAGACCAGGTCCTTAAATGACAGCTTTCTCTAGTCTGTGACTTCATAATACCTGTATAAACAGATCAAATTTGTTCTAAACAAAGGACATTTATAGATATTTTTATATTTATGATTCTTTCTTGTTTCTTTCATTAGTTCTATGCATTTATTTCTATTGAATCATCTATGAACAAATGCACATTTTAATTAGGTGTTACTTCATGTTTGCTGTTACTAATGCTATAATGAGCTGTATATATACTCTCAAAGTACATTGCACCACTATATGACATGAATACCAAACTTATACATCACTGCTGAACTGTGATTTCGTTACAATAAATTAAAATAAATGAACCAAAACCACAGGTGGTGGTAGCGATGCTACTTTCATAGATCCCAAGGCCAGTCTGACTTCCTGTGTACACAGGCCACAGATCTTCCCCAAAGTAATTCCTAGTGGCTAGTGCATATACTTTAGAAAAACATCCAATCTTGATTTTAAAATGGTAAGTGACGAACAATCCACGGTAAATTGTTCCAATGGTTAATTATGCTCACTGTTAAAATGTACACCTCTTTCTTGCGTGAATATAAATACAAATATAAATATTAAATACGGTAATATAAATTATTTGTTATCAGAGGTTTGGGTAAAATTAAAATTATTGGCTAATTAGCAAATTAGCCACTACGCTAATTATGTGGGAGGTTCTGTATATTAGCAGTGGGCATAGTACTATAGCTATTTACTGCAGCACAGCTATAAACTATCCTGTTTGAGAGCCTGGGTTCATACTGTTTCCACCAGACCGAATTTATATTTCTTACCCTAGGACAAACGTTTTTACTGTCATGGGAAAGAGATTTGGGTTAAACAACTGGCCCTATGTGGCACTCCAGGCAGTGCTCATGCTGCATCTTCCATCACTGGGAGAGCACAGACTCTTGCCCTTATGTAGAGCTGCAATGGGGGATGGGAAGGCTCCTTGTCCTTCCCCAGTCTAGTGCACATATGCAAGGGTTAGGTACAGTCTGGGCCTAGAGGGAGAAGCCAAGTATACCAAGCAATTATTGCAAATTAAGACAATGTATTTATTGGGCCTTGGTGTTTTGGCAGTACCACAGCTCTAACAAGCTGGAACAATGAGGATTTTATGTAACCGGTGACTTAATTGTTAAACATCATGTTCGTGCCTTTGCCAATGGAAACCCTCAAGCCACTAGGAAAGGTGATGTTTTTCTTTTTGCTTGGAAATATGTATAAAGTATCACCAAGAATTACAGGGGACCCTTTTAAAAACCAAGGCTTTTTTGTGAGGAAAAGTTACCTTATATTTACTTTATATGGGAATAGGTATCAGCTCATGTGCTGTGTTCCTGGCAAAACTAACATGATCACCCATTTCAGTCAAGTACTGGGTTTCCAGTGTCAATGTTCTGAGAAAAGGATGGTTGAAGATGTAAAAAGCAAATGTAGCCAGAAAGAAAGACGTTGGGAAGAACTGGAATAACTGCCTTAGCCCATTGAGCACTCCATGTGATGCCTACTCAGAGAACGTGAGGTTTCATATTTCCTGGTATCTGCATTCAAACACTGACATTCCCGATTTGAAAGTAATTAGCATTACCAAGGGATTACAAGTATTTGCTGTATTTTGCAAAGGGTATTCCCTACACAATAGTGTCACTGCAGTGTTTTGGATCATAATTGCAGTGACTCTATTTTTCCACAGTGGAACATGGAACACAGCGGCTCCTATATTGGGACACCAGTTTTGTTTTTTTTTATTAACCTACTATGTATTCACCTACTTCATGGCCATATGTTGAACTTCCATAGGGATCCAAAGGAGTTATCACAAAGTAATCAACAAAATGGTGTCCCAATATAAGGGACTCACTCCCATCTCTCTCACGCAGTCACCTTGCTGTGTACTTCAATCCCATTTATACACCATTTCCCATTTTGATCCTATATTTATGTTTTTTTTTCTGTCTTGCTTGTAGAGCACCAGTCACAAAAGTAGGCAGGTGCCAAATGCAGTATTTAGTGTAGCATAATACCACCATCAGAAATAAGCCTCTGCTCTCTCTTTTCCTTAGCGTTAGGTAACTTCTGATTGCTGCCATTGCTTTCTTTTTTTTCCCTTCTCCCCTTTAAAAGACAAAAAGACAGGACTTCCCTTTAAATCCTCCCTCCCCAAACATTCTACAGCCCGGAGCCCTGCTATTACATTAATGCTGTAAGCTGCCATGATCCATTGTTTTACAACACTGCAATATTTTGAGGGCTATTTAGGTTAAAAAATGACCATTTAAATGAGAGACCCACCTTTATCACTCTAAAAACCTTTGGAGACAATAAAAGAAAAATGTTATATTTGCCTTGTGACAGTGTTTGTTTACTCCCATCTGCTTTAAAGCAGAATGAAAGCCAACAAAACAGAAGGAATATAAAATTATACAATGTTCGTAGGAATGTGCTTGATTCTCATTAAAAAATTACTTACCGACTACAATGATAAACTGAACAATATCCCCACCCCCCTTTCCACGAATAAGGTCAGTCTAAGAAGTTTGTGTATTTGCACATAGATTGATTGGTTTGAGAGAATATTACATGGGAGAAAAGTCTAAAAAATTCAGATACAATATTCACCATCAACAATTCAGCATTTGCCATCAGTTACACGCAGCATTGTCTATGAATATCAGAGCATCCCCCTCAACTCAGGAGATCTCCCTAGTAAAATGTTTGGAAAATGTTAACCTTTTAGTAGTTTCTATTGTGTTTTCCAATCTTTGGAAGTATGAGGAGGCCGAGGTATTTTGATAGCTGTGATACTGCCTACTAACTGTAGTGCTGCCATTCCTTTAGGTATCACTTCTGAAAACAGGTGCTCCCTTCCAAAGACTGTGCATGAGGCTTAAGAATAAGCCTCTTTATTTATAGCCTCTCATCTGGAAGAAGACTGACTCAGGAGCCAAAGGGACAGCATGAAGTTTGCATTTCTGGCTGGCATTCGAGCTTGTAGCGTGAGAACAAACAGTAGGTCCCCTTTGTGCTACCAGCTCAGAGTGCAACTATAATGGATCAGTGAAACGCCTTTGAAAATAAACAAATGAAATAATGCTTGGTTTATTTAAGGGATTAGTATATAATACCTTGTAGCATTTCAAGTATGACTAAAAGTCAGTGGAATCAGGTTTGTTAAATATGGCCACTTATTCCTTGAAATCCAAGCAATTATTAAATGTAAAAAAATCCCCTGGCCCAAGGACATTGTTACATGTAAATGAACATCTGGTGCTACTAAGAGGTCTTATAAACCTTCAGAGATTGGGTAAAATTTTCAAAAGCACCTAAGTGATTTAGAAGCCTAAATCCCATCTGAAAAAGCCACTTAGAATTTAGGAGCTTAAATCTCAAGGACGTTCAATGAGGTTCCTAAATAATTTCTGAAAATGACACCTCCTCTCGAGTTTCCTCATCTTCACCTAACATCCTTGTGGCAATTCCAGGCATTGATAACTTGGAAGAGGAATACTCAGAAAGAGATTGGTATATCTCTAGCTTTCTTGTAATGTGAGTTAGTAAGTGGAAGCAGGGAGGAAAGTTAGCATCATGTGACCAGCAGGTTTTCCACAGAACACTAGTGGTCCATTGACCACAGTTCAAGAACTGCTGCGGTAATACCACTTTTGATAATTAATCACAAAATGTATTTACAATTATTGATTCTGTTCTGTTCAGGTTCTTCTACTGCACCCATCACCATAATATCAGAGCATTTTCCAGAAGTGCAATAACCCAGACAACAGCATTTTTGTTTTGAAAAGGAATTAGGCAAACATTACCTACATCCCCCTTACCAGTGTATAAAAATTGTAATGATGATAACACCAAAAATACCCTGCAAGAATAATGGCTGTTACAAACTGGAAGTAAATATGAGCTACACAAGTTGCACACAGGTTGCCTATGTGACTTTCAGGAAAATTGCAGTTTGAGACAATAGCTTTATAAATCATTCTGATAGCTTCCCTTCTAGAAAATTCTCATGAGAAGTGGTGTCAGTGCTTACTACAAGAATCAATACAAAAGCCAGCTGAACTCTGCAGCAGCAATTTTGAAATTAGTGACAATCTTGATTAGGATTTGATTATTTGTTGCATGTCCTCCGAAGTGTGATAACTAACAAAGAATTGCATGCTCTTAATAGAGATATCAGAAAATGTGTCTGGCTTGGAAAGATGCTCTGTCTTGCATTATTCATATTCTATCATGCAAGAAAGATTGTTTGGAGCACAAGTATTAACACACTGGATCAGACACATGGGCCATCTAGTCCAGTATCGTGGTCTCCAACAATAGCCAGTGCCACATGCTTAAGAGGAAGGCATGAAACTTGTTTGCGGAGGAAAGTTTTTTGCTAATGTTGTAGGAGAATCGGTTTGTGTTCTGAGTCATTTGGGTTGATAGCCTTTATCATTTTTTAATTAGCTGGTATGATTATAGCGGATTCTTATTATACAAATCTGTATCCTATCAAGCTCTCTGCCTCAATAATATATTGCGAACTCCACAGGATAATTATACTTTGTGTAAAACATTATTTCTTTATGTTATTTTTATATTTGTTACCTTTAAATCTGATGGGTATTTGCTTGTTGTTCAACTCTGCTGAAACCAAATAGCCCCAATCTCTCCTCAAAGAGAAACCTCTCTATGCCTCTGATCATTTGCCCGGCTCTTTTCTATTGCTGCTGTACCCATGGAATGACCAAAAGGGAATATGGTGTTCAACATGACACCATATTATTGAGTAATATAATGGCATTATGATCTGTTCAGTTTTATTTTTTACCCCTCTCTTACAACAGCCTAACATTTTGACTGCCATTGGGCCCTGAGCAGATGTTTTCATGCCTCTCACAAAAGCTTCCCAGGTATTACAAAGAGCTGTAGTAATGACTGTAAATAGTATTCAGGAACATATATATCCATCCCCTAAGTTTCCATCCTCTCCCGTCTACAATATTTTCAAGTATGACGTTAGATAACTCCCCGTAAGGAGACCTTGCGTACATATATGACAGAGATGGAAGGGATTTTTATACCCTATGGACACGAACACAGGCCTGATATCCTCTTCTTCTCCATCTATCATACTAATCCACTGTGATGGAATTTAAAGCATAAATACACATCTATTGCATCTGGGACAGAGACTGCAATATAGAAATGATGGATGAGAAACAAAAATATATAGATATTAACAAAAAATTCACAGTGATTCTTCTGCACAGAATATACTGTACTCTACATGGATTACATTCGTGGCAATACCCCAGCATTTTGCTATAGGATTTGTGGGATTATAGGGACTTCTAAGCATTTTTAGTGGGGTTGTCCAAAACGGAAAAGCTGCTGACAGAGATAAAGTGCTCTGTGTGAACAAGTTTATGAAAATTTGGGATAGTTTTACAATGGAAGCTACAGTGGTGTATATGGATTTGTGTTGTCTAAACACCATTTGTCATCTACTGAGACACTGGGAATGCAGCTCGGAAATGTGTAATTTGGCCTGGTTTGTTGTTATTGATTACTTTGAGCAATGCTGGTGTTTACAGAGAGATTAATGGTCAGCTCAACTCTTTATTGGAATTCCAGGAATTTGATCTGCTGCAGCTGGATATGCAGGATTTTTTATGTTTTAAAAAGGGTTCTTCCCGAGTCTCTGCCTGTCCCCAGAACTTCCCAGAGAGGTGATTCACAGGTGCGGAGGTGACTTTGTGTGCTAAAACCTGGAGCTACATTACCTTTAGCATGGATTTCACTCACAGATGGGGGAGGGGGGAAATGATGCAATCCCTTCCAGCTCTACACCTGTCCCTCTTCCTACTTCCCCTGGGTGCTTCCCCCCACCCCATGCTGAAATCTGGTGGAGAAAGCATCTGACTCTTTCACTTCCTAGTGGAAAGGGCTATGAACAGAGGGTCTCCCCCACATGGTTAGCAGGATGATCAGGTTCATTTTCATATGAGCAGCTTGTGTAGGTTTAAAATAGACCCCCTGATTAAGCCGAATAGAGGGGTCCTTGGGAAGGCCCAGCTGAGTTGCCAGCTTTGGTAACAGAGAGTTTTCTGCAAGGCTGTGTCAGCAGGACAGAAGCACATTGGTTCACAGCGTAGTCTTGAATAGACAAAGAAAATTGCCCCTTGCTAACAATGGGTATCATCAACATGTGCCCAGCAAAGTCTAACGGCAATGGCCAAACCATGTTCAGCACAATTTTAGAAATGAGTTTTAATCACTGCTTCTGAAACTGTGTAGAACACAGCTCTGACCTTGGCAACACATGCAGACATGTCTGGCACCAGTTCAGCTGCACCTATTGCTCATACTAATCATCAGCAATGAGTAATTTTCTTAGACAAAGCTTTTTTGATGGTTATTTGTGCAGCAGCAAAAGGGACAGAATACAAAGAATTGATTGCTCCATTCATAGGCTTGTTGCTTTAACCATTTTGGACTCCATTGCTTTGTCTGAACAAGAGGATTTTACCACTGGTTCAGCTGAGCCCATGTTACCTCTGGTGAGAGCCCTAATGTAGAGAAGGTTCCCATATGCCTAGACCCGTTTTTACCAACATGTTGGTAAAACTGCTTTCACCAGGTTTAAATAACATAGTGGTAAAAATGCCAGAAGCTACAGGAGTCTCTTCTACACTATGGCTCCTACTGCTTCTCTCACTGCTCCAACTACACTGGTGCCAACACTAGTGGGAATAATTTTGTAACATTTCCTGCTGTAGACACAGTTGCTACTATCAAATAAATATCAAACAGCATGGCTTCCAGATCCAGAAGTATGGAGTAAATTAACATGTTGAAAGGAGGATATACACACACAGCTCTCCTGAACTCTAATGGAAGTGGTGAGTGTAAATCCCTATAATGGGACAAAAAGAGATACTACTCAGCATCCAAATTCACCCATTTAGATTGGCTAGGATGAGTGAAGAGGTGCTTTTTTGTTAATCACACAGAGAATTCAGCTACAAAGAGGGGTACAGTTGTGAGAGGAATCTTTCCCTGCTGGAACGAGACCCTCCCATCTATAATCAACTTGCTGTGCCTTTTCCCAGAAACATAACATTTTCCTTTCTCATACACTATGTGCAAACATCAGTCTTGGCAATGATAATGTTTCATTAATAATAGTGTCTTCAGTTGCCGGATAAAGCCATTAACCATGGCAATATTAACATTTAATCGGGGTTTTTTAATTGGGTGGATTTCAGAAGAGCTTCATCTCCTGGGGTAACACAGCGTATGCTTTTCCAATGGCAATTTTTAACAGCAATGGATTTCTACTGAAATCTGAACTATTGATACAGATATTAGCCAAGGCTGCCCTCTATCTTCCTCTCCTTTCAACACAGCCCATTCTTTCACAGAGCTTATACTGCCACTAAGCCCAAAGTTTCAAAAGTGAGCACTATATTTAGGAGTCCCTTTTTAGACAGATACTGCCTGATCTTCAAAAGCCCTTAGCTCTCAGCAGCTCCCATTGAGAACAACGGGATTTACAAGGTAGGAGCTCTTTTGAAAACCTGCCAAATAGGCCCTGATTTTCAGAGTTGCTGAGCACCCGCAGCTCCCACTGGAATTGTGTGGGCTCAGCACCTCTGAAAATAAATCCTGCAGGTATCTCGAGTTGAGACCCGATGACTGAGACCCTCAAAATTAGTAAACACTTTGGAATAACTGAGACTAAATTTCTGTGCTTAGCAAGTGTATGAGGGGGGTGGGGAGGAATGGGACTGGTATTATGAACCAGCTCATAGTAATTTTTCAGTAAGCATTCCCCTCACATATCATAATTCCAATTAATAAGCCTTAATCAATCCTTACAATGACAAGGGCTACCGAGATAATCTCTTGGATCAAGGAAAGGAAAATGTAACTGGAACCTGCTATCAACTCAAAGCCATTAAGTCTAACTGAGGAGGTAAGCAAATTTTTCCTGTCTCGCTGATACATAGAACACTAATTTACAGTACCCTGTAAAAAAACAACAACAAAAAAACAACTTTACAAAGTTGGCTATGAAGCTTGTAAAAGATGTCACACAAGATAGCTATTTAAAAGAGTGTCCAGATAATTAAAAATAAAACCCGGTGTTTACATTTGCAGACTCAAAATATTTTATAAGCTGTATTCTCAAGGACAAATTTCTGACGAGACAAAAGAGGTTGTAACACGTAGTGAAAACAACCAAAACATGTTTTGAAAATGTTCAGTCTCCTCCCCATAAATTGGGACGCTCCATTTCTTGCCAGCAAAATGTTTATATTCGGAGTCTAACAGCTAACATCTGAAAGAAATGGGGTTGTGTGTGTTTCGTTGTCAATATTCAGATGTAAGTTTTTGTATGCAATTTTACAGAAATGATGGATAGAAATAACCAATGCCACATTCCAACAAACTTCTGAAAATGTGCTTGACATAAAATACCTGTGAGCAGCAACATACTTTTTCTGTATTTTCTCTCCCAACATTCTCATACCTAGGGTACACATATTTTATTGATCTATTTATCTTGCTCCTCCTACCTGAGTCATCTAATGATACCACAGTCCAGTTTGTGACATCTTAATACATCATAACAACCAATCATCTGATGGCAATAACACTGGACTGTAGTCTCACTAAATGAAGCCAGCAAGAGCACGCTGATTAGAAAGGAGTAAGTTACTCATTCCATACAAATATCTTGGTAACCATCACTAAGTGGAAAATAAGCAAAGAAGAGATTTATGATGTCAGAATGGCTGGAAAGTGACAATGTGAAATTTGTGGTGTTTGCTGATGTATGGACATTTCTCCTTAAGTAAAATATACCACACAAGTTGTACAATTCAATGCATATTTTTGAACTGTTTTAGCACTATTTCTCTCGTTTCCTTGGGCCTACATTTTGAAAAGTGATTAGTGTTTATGGGGGTCCAACTTAAGACATTCCAGGAGCCTAATTCTCAGAGGATGAGTGCTTAGTACTTCCTGAAAACGAGGCCCCACTAAGATGTCTCAGGTTGGGCACTCAGAAATGCAGGTCCTCCAAACGCACTAGTTATGTTCCTTGGCACCATTTTATTGCATTGCAGACATACAGCATGCAGTACCAGCTAGATTTTTATTTGATAAGGAATAGCTCTTGAGTCTCTGATCAATCTTTCCTTAATGTTTAAGTAACTCTTGCGTGTATATATATTTATGTTTATATTCAGCACTATGATAGGACTCCACTTCCTAATGGGACATGCCTTAATCTACTAGATGTCATGTGCATGTGTACATACACAAAATTCATGTTTGTGAGAGGAAGGAGCATTTCTCTCTGTTCGCCATGTTAAACCAAGCAATTATATATGTGAAATAGTTCTCATCTTGTCTTCCTTATTTTCTACACAAAACAATCTTAATATACTTGTACTCACACCACTGTTCCTGTGCTTTTCCTTATGATTTTAAACTGAAAGGAGGGATGATTTATAAACTCGATGTCATAGCTGGTGTCAGCAGCAGCAGTGGATGGAGACTCAATCTCGAGTGGAACTTCAAATCGTTGGCTGTTAGGATCATAAATCTAAATCAAAGTGAGAGTAGGCACAAAGTTGTTGGTTGGTTAGTTAGCTTAAGTTACTTGGACTTTGTTTAAAAAAACAAAACAAAACAACAACACTTACCTTAAACCTGAGTCGGTCTTTCGTCTGAAACTCCACGTCCATGGCAACAGGAGAAATATCATTGCCGAACAGTGACATCATGGTATTACGTTTCATCAGCATTAACCTACAAACACACTTAATTACCACACACCAAAGTGCTCAAGCACAAGAACAGCCATATACAGGGCGAAACAGTGGAAAGGATTCAGCTCTATTAACCAATAGCAAATGTTTCTGGAAAAGAACTTCCTTAAATCATGAATTTGTTAATAGATATTGCTGGGGTGGGCAAAGGAGGGTATTTTTTCCCCAAAATTCAGCTAGGTAGCATGGACTTGTACCCTCTTGTGGAAGGTCCAGCTATTCTACAAAAGGGGAGTGGGGGAAATGTATGCCTATGCATTTATAAATGTATTCTAGAATCAGAACCCAAAACTGTATGTAGCTTTTAGGCAGGCCGACCAAATGTGAATGCACAAAGAATGATTACAGACTTAAACAAGCAATGGTAAAGTTTACCTCCAGCCTTTAGCTGTCTTTTGCGGCTGCCCATACAGAGAGTACCCATATGGGCCAACTTCTGGGAAAGAACACCAGGGGGCATTGGAGACTTTTGTAGAACACCAAATGCAGCCCTTTGCCTCACATGCCTCTTTTGAGGCACCTAGCTGAGGGTGGCAATCAATGCGTTTCTGAACTGGAACATTGCTAGGGCAAGCTGGATCTTCAACTGAGTCATAGAAGCAAAATGGAACGTTCGGAGCGCTAGTCTCACACCACCGGCAGCCACGACTTATGCAGGAGGTTTCAGTAGCTCCAGGTTCTGGATGACAGTCTTGCCGAAGGTCCTCAGAGATTGTTGTTGGACATGTGCTTGAGTGAAAAGGCTGAGCTAAAACTAAACCGGGAAAGGAAACAGATACTGAGCATCAAAAACACAGAGGAGTTCAGCATGAAATAATGCAACTTGCTTTTGTGTAGATATAGCTATAAAAATTAGAAGATAAATAGTGGATAAAGCAATAAATAGAATTGTTATGGAGGCGTGCAGCCTTGACTGGAGTCAAGGATGCTCTGAGATCAGCTCTTAAATAAAGGCTAAAAATCCTGTTTCACTTTAAAGATTGAATTTGATGTATATTTACTACTATTAGTAGTATGTTTGTATTATTATAGGTTTCAGACTGGTAGCCGTGTTAGTCTGTATCAGCAAAAACAACGAGGAGTCCTTGTGGCACCTTAGAGACTAACAAATTTATTTGGGCGTAAGCTTTCATGGGCTAAAACCCACTTCATCGGATGCATGGAGTGGAACATACAGTAGGGAGGTATAAATACACAGCATATGAAAAGATAGGAGTTGCCTTACCAAGTGGGGGGGTCAATGCTAATGAGCCAATTCAATTAAGGTGGAAGTGGGCTATTCTCAACAGTTGACAAGAAGGGGGTGGAAATCACTTTTGTAGTGCTAATGAGGTCAATATAAACAAGGTGGCCGATTTCAAACAGTTGACAAGAAAGTGTGAGTATTAGCAGGGGGAAATTAGTTTTTGTGGTGACCCACCCACTCCCAGTCTTTATTCAGGCCTAATTTGATGGTGTCCAGTTTGCAAATTAATTCCACTTCTGCAGTTTCTCGTTGGAGTCTGTTTTTGAAGTTTTTTTGTTGAAGAATTGCCACTTTTAAGTCTGTTATTGAGTGTCCAGGGAGATTGACGTGTTCTCCTACTGATTTTTGAATGTTAGTAGCTAGTGAGTATTTGCTTCAGCTTGGAGGTCTGTCTGTAAGCGAAGACTGGCCTGTTTCCCAAGGTCTGTGAGAGTTAGGTGACAGCCCCCAACTAAAACCTCTCCAGTGCATCATCAAGGATCTACAAAAAGAACAGGAGTACTTGTGGCACCTTAGAGACTAACCAATTTATTAGAGCATAAGCTTTCGTGGGCTACAGCCCACTTCTTCGGATGCATATAGAATGGAACATATATTGAGGAGATATATATACACACATACAGAGAGCATGAACAGGTGGGAGTTGTCTTACCAACTCTGAGAGGCCAATTAAGTAAGAGAAAAAAAACTTTTGAAGTGATAATCAAGATAGCTCAGTACAGACAGTTTGATAAGTGTGAGAATACTTACAAGGGGAGATAGATTCAATGTTTGTAATGGCTCAGCCATTCCCAGTCCTTATTCAATCCTGAGTTGATTGTATCTAGTTTGCATATCAATTCCAGCTCAGCAGTCTCTCGTTGGAGTCTGTTTTTGAAGTTTTTCTATTGTAAGATAGCCACCCGCAGGTCTGTCATTGAATGGCCAGACAATGGGAGTGGCGGGAAGCGGCACGGGCTGAGGAATGTGCTGGCTGCCGCTTCCTGCCACCCCCATTGGCCTGGAGCGGCGAACCGCAGCCAGTGGGAGCTGCGATCGGCCGAACCTGCAGATGCAGCAGGTAAACAAACCGGCCCGGCCCACCAGGATGCTTACCCTGACGTGCCACAGGTTGCCAATCCCTGATCTATCCTGAAGGACGATCCCTCATTCTCACAGATCTTGGGAGACAGGCCAGTCCTTGCTTACAGACAGCTCCCCAACCTGAAACAAATACTCACTAGCAACTACACACCACACAACAAAAACACTAACCCAGGAATCAAACCCTGAAACAAACCCTGGTGCCAACTCTGTCTGCATATCTATTCCAGGGACACCATCATAGGACTGAACCACATCAGCCACACCATCAGGGGCTCGTTCACCTGCACATCTACCAATGTGATAAATGCCATTATGTGCCAGCAATGCCCCTCTGCCATGTACACTGGCTAAACCCGACAGTCCCTATGCAAAAGAATAAATGGACACAAATCTGACATCAGGAATTATAACATTCAAAAACCAGTAGGAGAACACGTCTATCTCCCTGGACACTCAATAACTGACTTAAAAGTGGCAATTCTTCAACAAAAAAACTTCAGAAACAGACTCCAACGAGAAACTGCAGAAGTGGAATTAATTTGCAAACTGGACACCATCAAATTAGGTCTGAATAAAGACTGGGAGTAGATGGGTCACTACAAAAACTAATTTCTCCCTGCTGATACTCACACCTTGTCAACTGTCTGAAATGAGCCACCTTGTTTATACTGGCCTCATCAGCACTACAAAAGTGATTTCCACCCCTTTCTGTCAACTGTTGAGAATAGCCCACTTCCACCTTAATTGACTTGGCTCACTAGCACTGACCCCCCACTTGGTAAGGCAACTCCCATCTTTTCATATGCTGTATATTTATACCTCCCTACTGTATGTTCCACTCCATGTATTATTATAGTTAGTCATCACTAAAAAACCCAAAACTAAGCTAGTCATCTTCATAACCTTCCAAACAGAATGTTACTTAGTTAGCTATTTCTTTTGGTCCAATCCTGCACTTCCTCTCCCATGCAAGTGGGTCCCACTGGAATCAATGGGATCACCCATGTAAAGAGGGGTTTGCAACAATGGGATTCTATAGTGTTAAAAAGTAGCGACCGTTATCAAATATTACAAAAAGGGGGAATAAATCTACTACACGTAGAACATCTACTCTCAATTTAGCATATGGGAATTTCAGTACTAAGCCCTGATCATAATTAAGGCCATTATTCGCAATTACTGCAACAATATTTTGGTGATTATTTCATTTTGAAAATTAAATACAAAAGCTTTAATCATTTAAGATAGTATCTAAATTTTAAATGTAGACTATTGCATTCTCAAAAGCTTGAAGACCTTACTGCATATATAGCTTGACTATACTATTGACCTAGTGGTCCCCATTTAAATATGTTTATATGACAATATTCATATCTGCCTCTTACAAGCAAAGATTTGTGATGGCAGTTTAAAATATAGAATGATAGGATGAGGAATGAGATTATAGATTCACTTCAAAACCTTTCAGGATTCCTGAGTTTATTCCTGAGCAAGAAATGGGAGAGGAATGACAGTTAAGTATTGTCTAAACTGACAACTTTTGGAAAATTTCCCATGATTGCTTTAGCAAGGATACATTTCCACTGGTTACTTCTGGGTGAATTCTGCACCACTGCACATCCACAGAATTTATGTCCCCTGAAGATTTCTTTGCTTTCCCGCAGAAAAATGACTTTCTGACAGGGAAGCAAAGGGAAGTCATAAGAGCAATCATGTGACCCTCCCCTGCAGTATGTTTTGGGTGCCCAGGGCAGCCAGCAGAGAAGTAAATCACTGTGGGGCAGGAGGTAGGACTGGGGAAGACCTGGCTGGTGGCTCCTACCCTGCGCTGGGCTCAGCTGCTAGTCCCGGCTGGGCTGGGGAGGATGGGACTTCCTCTTCCCTTGCACGGCATCCAGGGCCGGGTCAAATCCACCCCCAGATTTCTCCCCTGGCTGCAGAAGTTCTGCAACCTCCCCCCCACCCCCCGCTTCCTGCACCCATTGCTCCTCAGCTGCAGGGGGAGAGATCCCTGTACAGGGAGCTGCTCCCCCATCCACCCAGCCCCCATTCATCCAAACCCCCTCATACCCAGACCCTCCCCCTGAGCCGAACCGCCCGCACTCAGAACCCCCTGATGAGCCCCACTCTCCCTGCACCTGGACCACCCCAATTAGCCACCTGCACCTGGACCCACACCCCACTGAGCCCCACTTCCCCAGCATCTGGACCCCCTCACCCACACACCCCTGACAAGCTCTATCCCCCGCCACACCCAGACCCCGCCCACTGCTGAGCCCCAACCACCTTCACCTGGACTCCCCCAACAAGCCCTTGTGCATCCAGATCCCCTCCACACCTGGATCCCCCCCCGAGACACCTGCACCCAGATTGCCCCAATCGGAACCCCCTAAACCCATACCTGGATCCCACCCACATTAAGCCCCTCCACACTTGGATCCTGCCTCCCCACACAGAAGGGCAGGGCTCTGGGTGTTTCTGGGGCAGGCCAGGTCCTTGCGCTGTGTCAGGGTTGGATGCAGCCTCACCGGTGAGTCCATGTCCCAGGGGGGTGAACCTGCACAGTGATCTCCCACGTCTGTGCAGCCAGTGGCATGTGCTCCCCAATTCCATGCTGGAGCCT